TTATTGTCTCTTATTTAATTAAGTTTAATTTTGTATTTAATTCTATTGTTGTATTTAAATTTTTGCACCGAAACATTATTTAAACGTTTTTTTGTTACATATTTAATTTTATTCAATTTTAATGTATTTATTTTAATTAAATTAAATTTAATTTTACTTTATTCTAATTTACTTTATTTATTTTATTTTATTTTGTCATTTTAATACATTTACTTTTCTTTTATTTAATTTAATTACATATAAATTTTTTCCAGCTTATCTTATTTTAATAATTTTTTTTATTAAGTAAACTACGAGGCCTTGTTGTTTGTATGAATTGAATATTTGTTATGCAACAAAGAAAAATTGTAGAAGTGACAGCTGTTTCGGAGATCAGGATCATTATTTTATTTCATTTTTTAATAATTTTTTATTACATTTTATTTTTATTTATTTATTTGCTTCATTTTATTTCATTCTATTCTTTTTTTGATCCTTTTATTTAAATTTTATTTTTTTCTAAATTATTTTATTAAATTTAATTTAATTTAATTCTAATTTTTTATTTGTTTTAATTTTTTTAAATTATATTTTTGAATTTTATTTTTCTTTATCTAATCTTAATATATTTTCTATATCTTAATTTTTTTTGCTGTATATTATTTTATTTATTTAGTTTTAGTTTATTTTATTTTTATTTTATTAGTTTTATTTTGTTTATTTGTATTATTTATCAACTCAAATTTGTTTTTGCCAAGAGACTCTAAACTCTTTCAGTTGTTAAGTAAGAAAAAATAGTTTAGATATTCGCAGCCCCATAACTGCGACCCAATGGCTGAGTGGCTTTCATTTCTTATCCATTCTTCTACCATACAGTTTTCTTGTAGATGATTTTCGCTAGCTTTTGATCGGCGAATATTTGTAGAGAGTGGCAGCAGAAGCTGACAAGCTGTTGTACGCCATGAAAATGATGAACATATATATAAAAACTTCCCACACAGCTGATGTAACATTGTGGAAATGGAGAATGTTGAACACTTTTTCCTTCCCTCACTGTATCTACTTTCCTTCACTAGATTATAAGTATATATGCAGAGATGCCCATATACGTATATAGCAAATATATTTCCTACAATCCAATTTCCGTTCATCATATTAAACACGCCTTGCAACTCCCCACAACACGGAACGAGAACTAAACAGGCGGAAAATACTTTAAACCCCTTCAAGGACAGGAAATCATTATATATAATTGAAAGGAGATACAGCCAAAAAGTATGCTGTGCTTTTGCAAGCAAACAAATATGCAAACTACAGCAGCAAAGGACTGTTAGCTGTTGGGGGAAATCGGTTGCCAATGCAATGGCAACGGCAACGGCAAAGTCACTGCCACGTCGAGTCACCGCGTCTGTAATTAACTGCAGCTGCGCCCTGCTAACTTTTTGTAGAACCAATACGAAATGTAATATGAAAAAGCATATAAAAATGAAAAATAGAGAAAAAAGAAGGAAATAAAAAAAATTGTAGAAATAAAAATCAGGGAAGAATGAAAGCGAATAGAAAAAAGTCCAAAAAGAAATAGAAAAAGTTGAAATGTGAAGAAAATGCAATAAAAGCAGCGAAAGGTATAAGGAAATAAAACTACATTCTAAATAGTACAGTAAAAATATTATGTAGATGTAAAAGGGAAATGGACGAAAAAAGTTGGCGAGAGAAACTGCTTCGGCATTGTTAAACTCGTAGTTATTTGCTGTAAGCGAGTTAAAACGCTCAAAAGTTCACGTTAAAGTGATTTCGCTTGTTCGACAAATTGATATTAATTTAGAAATAGTATACAAAGAAATGAAAGGTTGTAAAAATGCCAAACTCTATGTTTGGTTGACTGACTTTTTGGTATTCTATATGTGTATGTGAGTGCCAGTAACAGCATGAAAGGGTATTGGAAATAAATTAATTGGGAATTCAAGTTATTGACAGCTGCATTTGAAATTTGTATGTGCCAGTAAAATAAGGCAAACTATATCGGAAAAAAATAATAGAAATATTAATAAAAGCTTCCTTCATACAAAAATTCAATCAACTTAAACTGAAATCTGGACATAAAAAAAAGAAATAAATTAAAATAAAATGTAATAATCTAAATTAAAATAATACAAAATAAAAACAAATAAAAAAAACTAAAATAAAAACCAAACCAAGATAAAATAAAAAAAAATTACATTAAACAAAATAACATAAAACAAAATAAAATAAAAATGTAAAATAGAATAAAATAAAACAATAGAAAATAAAACAAAACAGTATAACACAAAAAAAAAAATTATAAAATAAAATAATATATAAAAATTAAATAAAATGAAAAAATATTAAAAAAATTACAAATATTAAATTAAGAAAATCAAATAAAATTGAAACCAAAATTTAAAAAATATAAATAAAATAAAATAAATTTAAATTAAAAAAAATTAATATAAAACAAAAAAAATAATAAAATAAAATAATAAAAATATAAACCCAAATTTAATTGAACTAAATAAATAAAATGAAAAAATAAAATAAAAATGTAAAATAGAATAATAGAAAATAAAACAAAATAGTATAACACAAAAAAAATAATAATAATTAAAAATAAAAAAAATTAAAAAAATAACAAAAATTAAATTCAGTAAAATGAAATAAAGTTAAAAGTAAAAATTAAAATGGTAGATAAAATAAAATGAATTTAAATTAAAAAAAATTAATATAAAACAAAAAAAATTTAAATTTACAAGAGAATGGAAAAAATTAAAATAAAATAACTTTAAATTAATTTAAATCAAATTATATATAAAAGAATTAAATTAAGCAATGGAAAATAAGAAAATGTAATAGAATGGATTAAAATAAAATAAAAAAAGAAATCAAAAAAAAAAAAATTAAAAATTAAGTAAAATGAAATATATTAAAACAAAACTAAAATAAAACAAAATAAAATATAATAAAATCAAAATAAGTAAAATCAAACAAAATAAAATAAAGTTAAATATAAAAAAAATTTAAATAAAATAATTAAAATAAAACAAACTAAAAATAAAACGAAAAAAAAAGAAAGCAAAATGAAAAAATTTAGCTCTATATCGTCTAATTATCTTACGTTTTCATATCTCTTGTGTTAAATTCGCTTAAAATTGCTGTCAATACCATTTCTTTATTATTTAACTTATTTTAGTTTTGCACTTCTCATTTACTTCGGTTCAGTTTTCCTTGTCATTTCCTCAACATGGTACGCAATCCCTATATTATTACTTTTGTTGTATTTTCATATGTTTTAATTTTCTTTTCTTTACCTACTTGACATTTGCCCTTTTAATCACAGTCAATTAAATTCTACTTTATCATTTGCACTTTTAATAGTTATGCAGTTTTCGACTGTCGGCACGCACCTACGAGTGCAATGATAAATTGTTAGCTGATGACTCTTCATTAAACGAATGCAAGTCAATTCATTGCGCATTGGAATTTTAAATGTAGTAAATGTGATAAATTTCGAGAGCGTGAAGAAATTATTTTCAGCAACTTGTTGCCAAAGCAAACTAGTTGTGCCACAAACTTTTTGAAATCAATTTGACTAATTTTTGAGTTATCTATTTCTTGAAAGCTTTAACGGAATATGACTGAAAATCCATCTTCTGCTAATATTTGGATATGAAGAGAGCACACTCATCTTCATTAAGCCTACCATTGCCTATACACAGCACTGAGGCAGAGGCCAATATCGAAAATAACTTGAGTTAAACGTGGGTAAAATAGTGTTACGTTATCTTTAAATACCATTTTCGAATATTTTAGTGTAAATGAAAGCTAAGTATAGAGCTTTAAATGTAAGCTCTAAAGCAATTTTATTTGTTCTAAGTGTGGCATACCATAAGGCGCACATAATATTTCATATTGTGCTACATTCTTCTACTGCTTACAATGCAACTACATAGTAGAGCAATTTTTTAAATCTCCAGCACTGCAATTTTATTAACTCCGACAAGCATTAAGTAGCTATAAATAGTTTTCAAAGAAAAAAGAAGCAAAACTATTTTTTAATATTATCAATGACATTTATTGCCCGCATGCCGCAACACGGCATTACATACACACATAAACAAAGAGAATGCAGTTAAATCAAAGTACGAGTATCGTGACAAAATGTGTACAAATGTCTTATACTATTAGAGAGACATGCCAATCAAGTGAACTTTACTACTACTCGTAAGCTACACACATCGTGCGAATGTCGTTATATTTATCTGTATGTCTGTATGCATATATGTACGTGCATAACCTACGCAATGAGCCAACAACATATAGAGGAGATAAAATAAGCAAGAATGCTGAAATATTATAGCACTATAGAGTGTAGAGCAGAATGCATTTGAGTGAATGTGAGGAGAAAAGTATATTAAAAGAAAATAAATAAAGAAAATGAAATATAAAAACAATGAAAGAGATTATCCAGATAGTTAATTAAATATTTTAAATAAAATTTACAGAAACATTTAACATTTAATGCAAAGTATGAGAAATTCGAGAGCTATTCTGGTGCTCATCGCAAAACTGTTAGCGCTCACAATTGTGATAAATGAAGCGCCTGAAAGTATGCCTCAATTGTGTATGCGTTTTAATTGGCATAGAAAATTCATACACTTCATCTGCTAATTAAAAGCGTTTAAAACGCGCTTTGCATAGCATACTTTCAAGCGCTGCTCCACACTAATTAATGAGACTACCAATTTTTGCGCACATCAACAGTGTTCGTGTAGTGTTTCAAATGATGGCAAATAAATATATATATATATATGTACAATATATACAAATAGTGAAATGTTCAAATTACGGGATGCTTCTAGTGAGACAGGACACAGGCGAACACTATGTATGTGATCATCAGCATTCCGGACCAGTGCATCAATGCTCAGCTACACGTACATATGTACTTTACGAGGACACAATTTAAACGAAATTATTTCACGTTAGTGTATTTTCTTTTATACAAAACAAATTAGAGTGGTAGTAGTGGGTGTGTGTATGTGGTAGTTAAGTGGTAGTGGTAGTTAAGTTCATCAGCAATTAACACACAAATTCACCGCCATTTACTCATACAAATTGCCTGGCACGTCCAGAGCGACTAAAACGACTGCCGCCGCCGCCGCCATAACCGCCATAACTGCCGATAGTGCTGCGCAACGAACGATAGGAGGGTAAGAAGCCCGAACGATAGACAGCGCCGATGTGACGTTTCTGTGGCGGTCCGTACGGTGCGCCGTCGGGCGGTGTAGTGGTATAGTTGTAGGGGTCCTCAGGCGGTGGTAGCAAGGCAATTTCTTCGCCAGGATCGAGACCGTCTATGTAGGGCATGTAGTCGTTGTAGTCAGCGGGCGGTGGTGCATTTTCGATGCCAAAGAGTTCGGGATCCCTGGAGGTATCTTTAAAATTTTGATGCAGATTTGATTATATAATACATATTTTACAATATATTACACAGTGTGTGTATGTGTGCGTTAGTGCTTATATTATATATAAATTTACAAATATAAATATTTATATAAATATATATTTACATATATATATTATATGTTATGCCTTATATGCCTTAATGAATTGCGTTTATATACAGTTACCCAAACCCTAAACTTATTTACACTTCATTAATTTGTCAACTCTAACCTAAGTCTGCCCCGCCCACATCGCCCCATTTGTATTGAACACTCCTTTTGTAATGCCCCACATACTCACCTAAGAAACGCTTTTGGGCACGTCCAAAGTCACCCCAATCCAAATCGGCATAGCTGGGATACAACCAATAGTTGGGCACAAACTCGGCATAATCCGCATCAGCGCCAAAGAAACTAGCTGGCAAGTAAACCTCATCCTCCTCGCCGCGCTTCTGTTGTACGCCATGCACTGGTGAAGCTTTCAATGCGCCAATATTTCGCTTGTCGGTGGGTGCCAAAGTCGCCTGACGTCCATGCGAATTGTAGCGTGCCACAGCAGCCATATTACGCTTATTACCACCTTCACCTCGGGTTAGCAAGCCCAGACGTGCCAATGTAGCCAGATTTCGTTTGCCATTTTGTGGTAACTGATAGTCACGTGCCAGTGTGCCGATATTACGTTTGCCGTACGTGGCGAAACCGCCGCTGCGCGCCAACGAGCCGACATAGCGTTTGTCTTCATTCGGTGCAGTTGGTTCCACATCCTCGGGATCGGGTAGTGAGGGTAATTGTCCGTTCTTGGCCAGTGTTGCAAGACTGCGTTTGGGATGTAGCATACCTTGGGCGGCGAGTGCGGCCACAGAGCGTTTGTCTTCGTCGAAGTAATCATAGTCCGGTGCTGCGGCATTAGAGGCGAGTTCATTCTCTTCCGCTGCAGCGGCTAGTTGGCGTTCGAGGAGTGCGTTGCGTAGTTGGCTGCGAAGTGCGGAGGCCTGTGCGGGGAGAGAAATGTGAGATTGCATGAGTTTATTTGACAAATTAGTTAAAAATGTATCTGTAAGAGGGAAAGTTCATAACCTGTAGAGAAAGTAATACAAAAATAAGAAAACTAAATTCGTGAGGCATTTCTTTAAGACCATCATAACGGAGGAAGAAAGAGATAGGTACTCTTAAAGACACTTAAAAGAGGAAGAACTTTGAAAGAATTCGTAACCGCATGGACTGGAATTTGAAGTGCTATTGGTCTGGATCATGAAACGTTCAGCATGATTTCAGCATATTCGCAGACAGTGGAAAAATGAAATTTGTTCTCCTCAAATAAACGCGATGGAAGTACAAAAGAGTATCCTTTGGTATGAGCTGGATGGGGGTTTTGTGCCTGGAAGGAGGTTTTGTGAAAAAAAGTACCCAACGAAAAGACCAAGAATGTGGGGGAGAGAAATATAAATGAAGAATGGCAGAAGGGAGAGAAAGAATGATATTAAATTAGAAAGAGAGAGAGAGGGGTGAAAATTAGAGAGTGGGTGAAAGAAGAAGAGACTTATAAAAAGAGAAAGAAAAAGAGATAGTGATATAGACAGAGGCAAACTTGTGCTAGTAAATTAACTTTATACCTTTTGTTTGGTTTTCTGAGCGTAAAGTTTTGAAATTACTGAAGAACTTCTACTGTTAACTGTATAAGCTCACTTTAGATAAAAAGAGAAGAGGTCTAGAGTCAACAAAAAGAATTATAATGCTTAATTTATCTTATATTTGGGGGAGTATATCCCGTTGATGAGGCTCAGCTTCTACGCCGTTAAGAAATTTCAAGAGATCGACAACTGTAAAGTTAAAAAGGACTTCAGTAAACTGAGAGGAAGGAAGTCTTCTAGCATATTTCCCCTTTTATGAAAATTTATTTGAATATGTAAATTACATTTTAAGAAGAATTTTTATGCATTTTTCACCTTTCAACAATGCTGTAAATAGAAAGAAAGAGCTTGATAGAGAGAGGGAGATGTATAGAGCTCGATATGGGAGAGGGAAGGAAAGATAGAGCTTGAGAAAGAGAGAGAGAGAGAGAGAAACAGACAACGAGAGAGAGAGATTGAAAGCGAGAGAAAGAGGGGAAAAGAGAGAGAGTGAGAAAAAGAGCTTGATAAATGACGATTCGAGTCGAGTCGGTATCCCTATCACACTTCCCTGTATATCATATATTATTATAAAGAAAAGACCGCCAAAGTCGAGCTATAATGAGTCTAAGATGATTATTCGACATCTTTTATGTGTAATCTCCTTAGCAGAGAAGCTGTGGTTCTGTGTAATTTTCGGATATATTCACATACGAATGATGTGGGGGCTGAATTTTATTCCAGCCTGAGCTTTTTCGCTTCCATTTCTTACCGAAACTTTTTTTTGATGACTAAGTCTCACTAAAACTATCAACTTTATGTTCCCTCTCACATTTTCTTTAAAACTATTTGCACTTTGAACCTCAAATAAGGTAAATAGTTTTTGGAACTCAATAGGTTTCCGCTTTCCAATTTTCCCTTTAATAAAATTCTAATAAAAATCCATGAAGAAATTATCTCCAATATACAAATCAATTTCATTCATTTGAAGTGCCAAAATCCACTTAACCTTTCTTATGCGCACCGAACTCAATGAACTTAAAACCATTTTGTTAAAGAAAAATGAAAATCACAAGAGAAAAAAATAATCAAAAATAAATCCAAATAACTTCGAACACCTTTTATTCCTCATTATATTACATTATATAATAAACAGCTGCCTGCAAACAGGATATTCATACTTACATGCAATTGATATACCGGATTTGGATATACAAGCCGATTTATTAGCGCGTCCAGGTCGTAAGGCGGAGCAGCCGGACCGTCAACGTCAGCGTCAGCGTCAGCTCCTTGAACCAAGAACGGTTGTTGTAGCTAGATGAGGGGAGGCAAAGAAAAAAGAAGTAGAAAATTAGAAAAAAATAGTGAAACACAATACACAATTGAGATAAGCTAAATGCAGGAATGACAAAGAGTGTAAAGGAGTGTCCGAATAAATGCGCGAACTGAAAGGAGGAGCAGTACGAGTGAATGAAGCAGTGATTGAATGTAGGAAGTGTAAAAAAAAAACTGAAAAAAGAGCGAAAGCACAAATGAATGCGCAGAGATAACAAAACAACTGCTGTGCGAGTGCGGAGTAGGACAAGAAGAAGAAGAAGAAGAAGATGAAAAGAATAATTTGGAAAATAAGATACTAAAATGCACGGTTGTTGGCGGAAAAACTTGCTTTGTGCCACAAGTGTGATCTGATATGAAGGCGAAGAGGCGTTCGAGGCGGCTAAACAAGTTCACGCAGCGACCGTAAATTGTACGTAAACGCAAAACGCAAGTAAAGAATGATGTTGGGATTTCAAAAGTTGAATTGAAAAATGTTTCGCAAATCCTTTTTCTCCTATATTTCAAATTTTCTTTTCAAGTTTTTCTCTTTACCTTTTTCTTCTGCTTTTTTTTTAAATTTTATTTTAATTTTTTATATACACAATTTTTTTTTTTTTTGCTTTGCATATTCATGTTTATATTTGTTCGTATTTCTTTGCTTGCGTAAAATCAAATCAGCCGTATCATTAATAACGGCAATTTTTTGTTGAATCAGCATTGATTGCTTGGGTTACGAAGTTTTTCTGTGTCTTTTTCTAATTTCTCTTTTCTTTCACAAGTCAGGGTAGGCTAATTACAGCGAGGGTTCAAACCATTTTCTGTATTGTGTAAAATCTTTAAAGGGCGTTGTGCTGAAGACTGCTAACCTTAAGTCAAGCAAAAAAAAATAAAATAAAATAAAATAAATTAAGTAAGGCAGAACCAAATTATGCGAAATTTAATATTTTTTTTTAAACAAACAAACTAACAAATACAAACTAATTTGCCATTAGTTTTTTTTTCTATTGAAAAGTTTTATTTAAATAAGCGTCTTAGAAAACTAACTCTGACAAAAATATTTTTTTTTAATTCTTACAATAATTTAAAACTAACCCAAGTTATAAAAAGTTTCCGTAGAGATGCGGATTTTTATCCGTAATTTTTGCAACACTTTTTACAAACAAATTTAGATAAAAAACGTTTTTAGGTATCAAAAGTATGCTAAATTTATAGGAACAAATTTTTGTTGTAATTTACTTCTCTTTTTAATAATTTATACATAACCGCATGATGTAAATCATTTTGTTAACTTTGTTAAATAAATATATTTCAAACTTTTCTTTTCTTTTCTTTTCATAAATAATTTTTAATTTTAAGTCAAGTTAAAAGAATTATATTTTTTACCGTAATATAATCTTTTCCTTTTATTAAATTTTCTGATATTCTTTTTTGATGATTGAAATAATTAATTAAAATAATTTACATTTTTTTAAATTTCTTTTCCAGTATTCACTATACAAATTTTCAATCCAAAAATATGTTTAAAAATTTAATTAAACCTAAAACTAATATAAAATTAATTTTTGAATTTTATTACTAAATATCTTTTTTTCCAGAATTTATTATCTACAAGGTGTGATAATTAAGCAATGAGACTCATTACATAAAAACCGTATATTTCAAAATTGTTCTACAACTCAACCCCTTCAAAATAGTCCCCTTGGGTGATGCCCTTAACGGTCAAACACTGTGACACGCTGAAGATGGTGTGGCACGGCGCGTTGCATCCAGTTACGAGCGCTTTCTAGGCGCACGCTGTTGACTCGCTTTCGTAATCTTTCGAGTACTTGGCGATGGTGGACTTGATTTTCGGTTTGCCCCGATTCAAGAAATCCATTGTGGACGATTCCACATCAACGATACCACAATCGCGGCAATAGAATCAGTCTCATAGACCTAATTGTCGCATTTCGTAATTTTTTGATTTTAAAAAAGTTTAAATTTTTTAATTGGACGTCAATATCTTTTACTATCGTATGCCTTTCCCTCTTAAAAATTTGTATGAAAGCGCTTTTTGATAGCTAGAAAAATTAATTAAATTAATTTTTGATTTACTTCTGCATTTCTTTGCAGTTTTTACTATTCAGATTTTGTATCTAATAAAATGGTATACAAATTTCGAACATGGTTTCGAATTTAATTAAAACATTTTTGATATGTAATCTAGCTTTTCTATTTATAAATTATTATGAAATCAATTTTTGATGATTAGAGGAATTAATTAAAATAATTTATTTTTTTGTAATTGAACTTTTTGTGCAAAAAAATTGTTTGATTTTCATAGCATTTGGAACATAAAAAAAATAAATTGGCGGGCTAAAAAATATTTTAAATTTTGAAAAAAAAAAAATGATAATATTACTACAGTATTTTTCAACCGAACAACAACAACTTTCCTATACAAATCGAGTGTTTTATTTTTTGTATGACAAATTCGCGCTCAAACAATAAAATTAGCACATACATATGTATATCAATACGAGCACATGACTATATCAATGTTCACTCAAGCGTGTTTCGTTTCCGCTAACAAGGCTGGTAACAAAGGTAGAAAAGAAAATATACGAGTATATGATATATGAAAAAAAAAAATATTTAAAATAATAAACAAACAAAATAAAGATAAAAATATGTAAGAGAAAGAATAATAAAAAGTAAAAGAGCACAAAAATATTTATATAAAAACCACCAACTCAAAAAAAAAAAAATAAAATTTCGCATGAATAAAATTGACTACGCGTTTTTCACGTTGTCGCTGCCTGCTAATCGCTGCTTTTGGCGGCAGACATACAACACATATATATATATATTATATAAAGCATGTGTTTATATACACTTATGCATACATTTGAGTTTTCGTAAATTTTATCTTCGACAAATAAATGTTAATCATACGCCATGGCGCACCTGCCGTACTTACGCGCCTTCAGTGAAACAGAGTGAGAGAGAGGAAGAGACGTGCTACAGACTACTGTTACTTATAAATCATGGTTACACGTGTGCATCAACACACTCACACATACCTTACTTAAATATTTGTATGTACACTTATATTCATTGCAGTTGCACGCTCTGTGGTTGGTAGTACAGCGCATATCAATGAAATTGCGTGTAAATTATCTGCTTATTTGCTGTACGCTTGTATACATGTGTGAATCGGCTTCTTTGCATATTTTTTACACACATTTCTTCTACATTTATAATTTACTCACCAACTCGTGCATTAACCTCAAGCTCTGTATATGTTTTTAAGTTCAAGACATTAAATTTATTTGTGGTTTCTTTTTGAGCAAATTTTTTAAAATTTAATATTAAATAATATTTAATGAATTTAATATTTTAAATAATTAAGTTTATTATTTCAAGCTTGACGACACTTTTCCTAGAGCTTTTAATTATTTTTCTCGAACTTTTCATGTGTAAATTTAAAAGTACTTTCAAGTAATTTCTGTTTAAGCATACGTATGCATGTCTATAGCCTTTTCCCGCAGAGATAACAAAACAACTGCTGTGCGAGTGCGGAGTAGGACAAGAAGAAGAAGAAGAAGAAGATGAAAAGAATAATTTGGAAAATAAGATACNCGACACTTTTCCTAGAGCTTTTAATTATTTTTCTCGAACTTTTCATGTGTAAATTTAAAAGTACTTTCAAGTAATTTCTGTTTAAGCATACGTATGCATGTCTATAGCCTTTTCCTTGTAGTCCCACAATGGTAAAAATATTTATCTCAAAGTGCAAATTCCATACTTATTCATATGTTCTTGTGCATGTGTTTTCACTTCTCGCATATTTATGGAAATTATCATAGTTGTCCTTGCTATTACATTTCTCGCAAAACATATTTCAATTAAAATAGAAAATGGTAAATGAAAGGAATTCTATTAAATAAATAAATTTCTACATTGAAAAATTCGTTTATAAATAACTCTGTAATCGTTCACTGAGAATTTTAATGTCACTAATGAGCTGAAGATTTAATTCAATTTGGTGCCTTCTGTGTTTGGATGGTGAATTGGAGGTAGTTACGTTCATTATATGCAATAATGGTTGGGCAGTTACTATTGGAGGTATTACATTAATCTAATCAGAACACATATAGGATTAGGCTAAGCTCAGAGATAGGTATTGACATAAAATTCCACGCAAATCGTGCTCTTGGAAACGTAAATTCAAATTATGACTTAATAAGAACACACTAAGAAACCTAACTCTGCGATTTTTTAAGGCAATGGCCACCCAGGAATATCATTTCACAAGCAAGTAATAATATTAATTGTTTATTCATAAGCAGATGGCCAACAGATGGTCTAAGGATCGATAAATAAAAGGATGTTGATTGGTTGGTGGAAAGACAAGTTTTGAAGGCCTGAAAGCTGACGACCGCCCGTTACCTCAATTAGGCTTTTACGAGCGACTTTTTCGAGCCAATCCTTAATAGAAGATTTTACTTTTCCTTCTACTTTGTTCCAAAATATACTTACAAATAGTCCATGAAACTACTCTTTCCATATATTTGACGCATACTATAAGCAAGGTGTTAACAGTGTGTGTCGCTAGCTTCACATAATGACTTATAATTACCACCAGAACGACATATAAAATATTTTTCTTTCATTAAAACTTTATACTCTCAAACAAATACCTTGAAAAGTTTGTTTAAAATGAAGTTTACTGTAAAACTCACGTACTTGCAAAGCAAATAAATGCTTTCTCAGATCTGCTTGCCACTCGACTTTTGGCCGCTCTACGCTCTGATAGCCGTTGATATGTCAATCAGCGAATGAGATTGAAATGTCGTGCCAAGCAAATAATCGAAAAAATCAGCTTCCTTTTGACCAAAAAATTAAAGGCAGCCAGCAAAGAACATAAATATACATACATAAATACACACAATCGGGCATGCATGCAGCTCATGAGAACCACACATTACACACATGCACACATTTGTATATAAGTA